TAAAGAACATAAGAATCAAGCAGTCTTAATTCTTATGGACAATTTCAGGATAACTGATTAAAATCTGCTTCAATCATTTTTTCTGTTTGATGTATTAAAAACGTAATCATTAAATCAATTACTATCAGCGTAGAATCAAGTGTTTTCTGTTTTATCGAGTAAAGGATTGGTGGCAAGTTCTAAGTAGAGCGAGCGTATGCATTTTTCAGAGATTTGGGGGAGTCGGCCCCAGTGTTCTACTACAGTGACATGGGCTGCATCCATCATTACATGGGCAAGCCTCAGCTCGCGTGCTACTACCTGCAGAAAGCCCTGCAGGAGAACGAGATGGCCACGAAGAGTCTTCCCAAAGCAGAGCAAGGTGCGCGACTCACTTAGTCTGCTTGTTCGGACTGTTTAGTTCAACGTTGAGAGCGATGTCTTGATGCGATATGGAAATCAGATTGTTACGAATGAACTTTAATCAGAATAGAACTTGACTTGGAACGCCGCGGTTGGATTATTAGCATTCCTCGTCATTGTGGAGTCTTCTTCCAAACTCGCGTAGAGAATTCGAACCTGTCGTCACGTGTGAATGGACTGCCATTGCCTTCCTGTTCTTTATGTTCACAGCGGAGCCATATTCGGGTCGACCTCTGTACACGCTCGGTTCCAACAAGAGCTACGAGCTGATGTACAATTTGGGCGTAACCTTACTACATGCCAGATGCCCGATCAAAGCTTTTGACTGCCTCACCGAAGCCGTGCAAGTCTATCATATGAATCCGCGGCTGTGGCTTCGGCTGGCCGAATGTTGCGTCATGGCACACAAAGCCGTTAGTACCACTTCTGATTTATGATTATAATATAGCATCTTGAAGTACACGCTTCAGGTCACCTGGAAATTAATATGTGTGATTCCTGTTACAAAAACAGCTCCACGTTTTACATCTCTTGACTTAGGTAATGTAAGACTGCATACCAGTAGTATGACCAGGAAGGATATGGAAGGTGTTACAGTGTGTTCTAAAATACTTCCATAGGACAGGTAAACTGCAAGAAAACTTAGAAGAACTGCCTCCTGGGCTGACAATCAAAGTCTGAGACTTCAAAATACAAAATGGCAGCACAGTATTTGGTGATATTATATAACTCTGTACCTTATCTTGAAGACGTAAAATTCATTTTTTAGAGCTAGTAACAGTATAGGCGCTGGACCACGTAGATGTATAAATCTCCGTGTATTTTGTTGAAAGTATACCATTACAGAAATACAGCGTGTTTCAAAAGTAGCTTTAGAACTTGAGGGCGAGATACTGGTGAACTGATAGGAGAAACATATAATTTCAGAACATAGAAATGTAGTCAAACACTTCAAGTTTTATGTGCATCGGATTTTTATGGCTCAATGTGACTTCCATTTGTTATGCGGCAGACGTCCCATCTGTAGAGGATGCATTGTCATAAAAAGAGGAAACAAACATGTAAAGAAACGCTATATAATAAATTATAAAAATGTCGGTCATTTGAATTTTGCTTATGGCGACTTTTATATAATCACCGACTTTTAACAGATTTTGAACGTTTCTATCGCAGGAGAATGAGAGCGATTTCAACATTCACATGCGGAGGAAGGATCTGGTTCAAGGTGTCGTGGGCACTGGGACACACAGAAAGATCATCCTTACCCCACAACTCTCAAAAGACACCAAGTACAGCTGCGAGGGGCAGTCATTTGCTATTCCTGTGGCGACTGTGGAGTTCGCTTGCCTGTGCCTTCGCAATGCGTTGCTGCTGTTGCCAGACTCGCAGCCAGAGGACCCCGTGTCACTGCCCGCGCCGCACTCGACCGACGTCCCTGCCATCACGCCCTCCCCCAGTAGCCACTATGTCTACGCTGCACCTTCAAATCCACTTGGACCTCATGAGGTGGCCAGCCTCAGGTGTTCCGTGCTTGCTTTGAGTGCGTACGTAGCGCTGTGCCTCGGTGATTACATGGTAGCTCTGGATCATGCGCAGATGTTGCTCGTTCAGCCAACGCTGTCAGGAGTACACAGGTATGTTGGTGTTGTGATGAACGTTCCCAATTTGAAATGTCAAATGAACGTGTGTCCAATTCTCAATAGTTACGGAGCATTGGATTGAAATTAAAAGATGATCTGCAAAATTGGGCACTGCAGTCACTGGACCTCACTCCCCCTAGATTTCCGTTGAGAATTAACGCAAAGTAAATAGAAGACGGGAAGTACGTCATTGAATCTCTGATGCAGCAAGATGCATGAATGACCCTGGTGTTCTGTGTAAGGCCCATGTCGTCTTGAATTTAAAATATCCCAAGTTCCATATCAAATTTACCTTCATACGACATTCGTGACTGAATTACAAAGAGTTGTCAAATTTGTATAGGATCTGCTACTTACTACGACTTGTACTGGTTGTCAACGGCTGACCGTTGCTGCCAGATGCGATAATTCTTCACGTGCATTTAAATGTAGCCTCGCATTTCACGATCCAGATCCAATTTTGAATTGAAGTGGTCCAAAGAGTATAAACTGTATTAGTTGAAGAACTTTCACTCTTAATGATGTTACATTCTGGCAGGATGCTGGGACACCTGTATGCGGCAGAGGCGTTGGTGTTGCTGGACAAGATCTCGGAAGCAATAGAACATCTCAATCCGGAACACGTGAAGGAACTCTCTTTAATGTTCCCTTCCTCTGAGAAGGACATGGACCGAGATAAAATGGACATCGGCACGGAGCAACACAAACCACTGAGAGGTGAAGCAGAAATAACTGTATTTGACAATAAAGTTGGTACAGTGTGTGTTATAACTTACAGGAAGACTGTAGCGTATCTTGTATCTTAACATAGTCTTTTGTTGTGTGCGCGCGCACAGCATGGTTCCCGAACACACTCCCGACAGCCAGAGCTGTGATACAGTACAACCTGGCTGTTGCGTTTGCTATCCGCGGTGAACTGGACAAGGCCGGCGAGACGTTGAAACAGGTATGTTATCTTATCAGGTATTTTGTGGTGTACCTCGGGGTTTTTTTTGCTTCTTGTATAAGAAATACATTTCTTTGTATAATCCTCCGTCAGCAAGTTTGTCTTCGTGTCAGTGGCTTATCTCTGTCATGTTGGCAGGTGTGGATGTCAAAAGGTCAAGGCTGCGATGTCCCAATCCACGTAATCATGCTGGCACTTTACATCGAGCTTCAGCTGGGTACGTATAGGTTGTCGTGTTGGCACTGTTGCTGGGTGTCGTTATGAACGTCTTGGTAGTGGCAGTCGTTTTCGTTGTGTTGTCCGGTATTCCTGTACTGACATGAGAATCTTAAAGAAAAGTTAAAATTGTTCCTTTTCATTCTTGAAATGCATGTTTTAAAGTAATGGAGGGTTAATAGACTTAAGAGATTATTTCAACTGAGTTAAATATTTGCCACAGTTGAAAACGAAATTTGAAACATCTTAACCTACTTTCTGGTAGTTGCATTTTCTGAATATCGTATATAAAGTGGGCCATGGAATGTTCCACTGCATTTATAATGTTTAAGTAAATAGTAATAAGTCAATCCTATAATTATATTCTGATATTTTTCCACTGCAGATTTTATGAAAACGGGGTTCATGCGATGTTACGGCGGCATCTTCCATGTCTTCTGTTACACTTGGTCGTACACCGGTTGAAATGACATTTTGGTTGTTACAGTGTCGCTGACAGTCTTTAAATTCAAATCGTTCGGTTTATATTGCCCTTGGATGTTGATATAAAAAATCCATTAATAATGGCCCCTTTTAGACTCAATCTGACATTCACAAAATCAAGTTTGAATTCTGTGTCGGCCACAAACGTGATGTTGTGCGTTGTCTGAGGCGCTGGTCATTCTCCAGAAGAAAACACGTTTCTCATTTCAGGCCATGCTGACATATCGCGCACCATAGTGAAGCAGCACTCGCCGCAGTACCGGTGAGGCCGTGACTGCCGCCCGGTGCCCAGTCAAACAAGCGTGGCCGTGAAATATAATGATTATGCATTAACGGAGAACACGCGAAGAAATCGTGTCCTGTGACGGTCTTAAGTCAAGTCAACCATTAATATCCATGTATTCACTAGTTTACTTTGTAAATGCGTTCTTCACTCCTGTTTTAATCTGCCTAAGAACTGAATGACAATGCAAAAGAGTTGAAGCACTGAAGAGGAGGAAATCACCATCAACATTCAAATTAAATCAGAAAAATGTTTTAAGCATTTAACTTATTTAATGTCCTTACATACAAATGTAAATAGTACATTGAAGTCATTTTTGGCCCCTTTAAGCAGTAAATTTAGTAATATAAACTTTTGGGATATCAAGTAGAAACTGAACAATTTATGCACATTTGTTTTGCTTGTGACTAAATTCACTTTTTGATGTGCGTGTGTGTGATTTGCTAATTCAGGTTTATAAGAAATTATTAATTTTTGTTAATCGACACTGAAGTTTGCCAGGCATATTGCTTGTTGCTCCGTGATGCCACTAGTCTGCCGGAATGGACTCTGACCATCACGAGCTCCTGACTGAATAGCTGACAAGCAGGGGATATCTACAACTCATGCGCTTGGCGACAGGGATCTACGGATCAAAGTTTTGGATTAGGTTTGCCCACAGATGGACAGACATCATGCCATAATACATTCATTTTGTGCAGGTCATTTGAATAATACACAGAAATAAAATGTACATAATTCTCTAAAGTATTTTTTTAATATCATCCAATCTGCACCTGAATTTCCAAAGTCGTGTCTCTACGCTCTTTGCTTTCCCACCAAAATTATGCGTCGCTGTCTCTACAATGAATGGCTATGGGCTCGATGACCAGGGTTTAATTCAGAGGAATTTTGCCACTGTGTCCAGACCAGCTCAAGGGTTCCAACCAGCCTCTTTTCCCTAGGGATTCCGCTAACTATGAGAATGCACGGGTCTGTACCTATGTGCACATTAAATTTCAATTTGTAATTTCTGTTCAGTTTTCTGGCAGGGGAAAAAACACCTTCTGTACCTATGTGCACATTAAATTTCAATTTGTAATTTCTGTTCAGTTTTCTGGCAGGGGAAAAAACACCTTAGCATGAATAGTACAAATTATACAAGAAAGAGTTTTCTCCGCTGGGATAGGGACTGGTCGAGGATCTTGTGAACGCTAATGAACCTTTAGGACTTATTAAAAGCCAGGAAGCTCCTTGACCTGGTGTACTGTAGGCTTCTCAAGGGCTGCACTTTGTGAAGATTGTTTTCTTAATTCTCCCATTACGTTGTCTATCCATAGGCAAAATATTAATAAAAACTATAAAGCTGGGTAAAGTATAATTTTTAATATCGTGTTTACAAGTTACATAACAATTAAAATGATATATATTTTGTGATGTAAATTTAATGTTAAAAGACTAGGGCAGAGATGTGAAACCTATGGTCTGGATTTTTTGTTTAAGAGGACTCGTTTATTCTTGAAATTCTAAATAGCAGTTCTGTTTTAATGAAATAAACTCTGTGCTCGTGGGCTGATATCACTTTGTTGCAGGAATTTAGGTTAGTATTTTCATAATGCATTAGCGCACATCTGACCATTAAGAATGCAGATGGCAAGAAGCTCCACGACTTAAAATCCTAGCACACTCAGAAAATAACCCGTGTTCTCAACCTTTTTTTGTGACGTGAAGTTTTGAGATGACGGCCGGTCCACCCAATTTACAGTTACGAACAAACACGAATACTTTGTTCACCTTTCAACAAATTCTGGAGTGTTTTACCGATACATGTGACGTTCGTAATTCTGTACTACGTAGGAAGTACTTTTCTGCAGCTTTACCAGCAAGCCATTGAATTTCCACAATTTATATTTAAAGCAACTGTTTGGGGGGGGGGGGACATTACAAATCAAAAACGATAAGCAGACTTACAAATGAACACATGCAAACTGAATAAATTACTTCATCCAGCATGAAAGTGAAAATTTGTAATCCGATGAACTACAAGCAGTGCCAGATATTACATTAACGAGCCCTTTAAAACTGTATCACATACGAATCAGTAATTATTTGGAGAAAAATTAACAAATTTTATAAATGTAAATAACAGCATAAAATAAAGAATTAAAAAATTTGCCGTGATGAGGTTTCGTATTTTCTGATATGGCCCGTGCTCAGAAAAAGTTGCACGCCCCTGTTGTAAATGCAGAAAACAGTATTACAGTATAAAAAGAGGGTAATTTAAACACTCAACTTCTTGAAACTGGCAGCTCTGATACAGAGCATTACATTCTTAACATTTCATAAATAAAAAATTCTAGGGCATGCGCTACAAGCTACACTTGACTTCAAGTCAATGGACATCTTCCCTCCCCTTACATTTCACTTCAGCGATCCACCAGTTTAATGTATGCACAGTATATGACGACATTTTTGTAGTTACAATACATCATGAATTTCCAGGCAATAAAGTCTTACCAAATCACAATTGTCTCAATACTGAAACACTGGATAGATCCGATACTCGAGGTTTATGCAAAATTACAGCTACTCTGTATCTGGGAGATACCTGATACCTGTCTTGGTTGAGGGCACCAGCCATCTTTGTTTTGTGATTATCAAAACATGGGCTATTTGGTTTCTAACAGATTCTTTGGAACAGCAATTCTGAAGCCACCTTCACTAACAGTCTATTGGAAACGAGGTCAAAACAACGTCTTTAGTTTGATGCCAACACCGTAAAGAATCGATTACCTGCTACGTTTTCACATATATCTGTAATTTATTTATGCGTTAAACCACCATTACAAGATGCCATATTAATAATTCTGAATTATTCTCTTTGAAAACATTATCATAGAAAGTTGAAATGAATTACTTAAGATGACAGAGTACAGTATTTCCCTGTTTCGTACATTCAGCGTTTAGAACTTCAGTTCCGACACCACAACACAAAACTACGGTTATCAACCCTCACTTAATAGTGCTCAGGATTTGTTTTTCTTTTTTGCTGGCCCCCTGGAAGCATCATTTCGACAGGATAATTACCCCCCAAAACAGGGAGAAGGAAAAAATAATTCTCAGTAATAAGAATAAATGTGAATAACTGATTACTCAGCTCCACACTAAAATTAATAGAATAATTTATTTTGACATTTATAGATAAGCAAATGGTTCAACACTTGAAACTCAATATATCAAATTACAGAATGAAATTATGAGCTGTAAGTACATACAAATCTATTAACAGACGGCAGAATCATGCACTATATTTTATTTTCAAGTTGTTCTCTTTCACATCCCAGGCACAGCCTTAACGACTTGGACTTTGTACTTAGAGGGCTGAAAAGTTCCCTTAGAAATCTCCAGTTACCAAGAAAGGGCGGTGGTAGGGGGGAAGGCAGAGAGAGACCTTCTAAGTATCATTAATGTCACAGTACTGAGATCATAACAGACATCGCACTTCACAGTTGTGCCTACCAAATACTTCTGCGTCAATGAATATCCCTGTGGCATGTCAATACGCGAAGTCAGGTGTCACTTAAAATTAAAATGTTCATGAACCACAGGATGAAATTTTATTTTACACAATTACACAAAAGAACCACAAAACCAAAAAGTTCAATATATAAAACTAATTTTTAGTTCAGTTTTCACCTATTTCAACTCCGTCAAATAGCTTTATGTAATTTAGAGTCGGGTCAGGAGTGAAAAGCCTGTCTTCCATAATTGCTGTGAAATGTTTCTATTGGAATGCAGTTGCTTTAAATACACAAACTTAAAAAAACCTGTAACAAAAAAAAACTATTTCTCAAGTCCGTTATTCGTAACATTTAAATGAAGTCCTGTCAGGTGAAGAGACGTCAGTACAGAATTATGATACAGATGATCATCTGAGAAAACTTAATTATATTTGTCACAGTGAAAGTTTAAAATCTTATTCACCATCGTTTGATTTAAACCCATTTCCTAAGTACAAATATACATGATTATTAAATTCATAAAGGCAAAGCAAATTTCACATCATACCAAATATACAGATCATAAATACGGCATTGTACGTTAATCTCTGAATACTTAAGAGCAAATAATGAAATTCCTCAGCACTGAAAATTTATTGCAACATGATTTTAAATATTAAGGAAAGAGAGGGGAGTCATTTATTTAAAATTAATTACCTTTGATATTGGTAATTTGTGAAAATAAATTATTCAGCTTTCAATGGAAACTCATTTCACTGTTACAAACTTCATACACACAAGTAAATTACTTACGTTAAACATTTGGCCACGCACATCCATCTCATTTAAAAACATACTCGAGTAACAAAATATCCCTCAAAATTCACGAAACACATCTAATTCACTTGTTTTCACAATTAACTTTTTTTTTAAAAAATTATTTAATCGAAAAATGGAAAAAGCAAACTGGCAATAGTGTTTAACCCATGTTGTAAAATTATACTGAAACCATTTATTCACAATTTATATCCACAGAAGTTCATGCTGCTTTTAAATTACAACTCTTTTCTTCACAGATAAACAGATTCTTACGTTCAACGCTCAGTTTTCTTTCGACATGCATTTCAAACACGACTCATTCATGATCATGGGTCGATAAGCAACAGAAAATATGAATGTCTCTCACAATAAAATTTCATGTCGCACGCAGTATTACAATGAAGCGACAGAATAATCTCAAATGTTGTGAAGCACGAAACTTGGGAGAAGTAAGTTCTATACAATCCAAGAACACGTACACATCAAGCAAGGGACAAAGTGGCATTTCGGGGGGGAAGGGAGGGGAAAAAGATGTCTACACGATTTCCTAGTAAGTACTGTGATAGCCATATGGTGGGGTGAGTGTTATAATACCGTGGTATAAATCCATCAGTCGGTCAAGCTGAGTTATAAGAGGAGAGAAGATATAAATATTAAATTATCATAATAATCACACAATACTGTAAGTTGAGGAAACAGATTTTTAATTAGCATTGATTATGATTCTTTGATATTTACAATGTTGTGCAAACTTTACTTTAATCACTGGATCAACCATTATTAATTATGTTATTCTGACAAACTAGTGTTAGGTTTCGTGACACTAGGGAGCCCAAATTCTTTGGAAATAAAAACAGGGCACAGCAGGCGAGCGCCTCGTTTCTAACAACCTGCCACGAGAAGTATACACCACAGCTTCACGAATGAAAATGGAATTACCACAAAGAACGAGTAAATATAACATGCCACTTCTAACTTCTGAAACACAGTCATGGTATTGCTTCTAGAACGAGATTCGACCCTATGAGAAAGACGGTATTAACGATATACTAAGCAAGGGGAGGCGGAGAACAGTTGCGGACGTTTCCTCGTCTTAAACGAACAACACGACACAAGTTAGCCGTGCAGTTGTATCATTCCAGACACTGCACAGACTTCATTGCAAGACGGGCATTAAAAGAATATATTTAAAATCACCAAAGTCCAAAACAAACTCTGAAATGAAATGTACAGAAATTAAAGCTGCTCCGCATACTTTAATGGCCCAGGCTTATTATGGTCGCGGTATAAATATGTCACAAGAACTAGAAAGTAGCATGCAATATCTGGGAGGGAGGGGGGGGGAAGTATTTTTTTAAAGAACTTCCATACAATTTGTCTCTGCAACAAATGGGCACACTGGAACGGTGGTTAGTTGTGGCGTGCGGGTGCTGGCCGCTTAATCTTCTG